TATAAAATTAATGTATATAAAAGATTAGTACATATTAAATTAATATTACTAACAATATTTTGTATATATTATAAGATTTGTCTGGGAATTTGCAGTTTTTTTAATACAAGGTTAAAACCGGAATGCGAACAAAACTAATATAATTTAAGGTAAATTGAAAAGAAAAATTCTATGCAGACACGTATCGAATTATACATCATTTTATTCATAATTTTATTGTAAATATTTTCATCGACAGTTTTAATATAGTGACCCAGTTTCAAAAATATAAATTAAAAATAAATATTTTTAATTATTTTTTTTATTACAACCGTATTAGCTTTTTGGGTACAGCGCATTTTATACAATTTTATGGAAAAAATTGTATTATTTGTAGTTTTTTAGATATGCCTAATTAAATAAATAAACGAAAATTTAAAAAATAATGAAAATATTATAAAGGCCATTAATAATTGAAATATATTATTTGTATCAAAATTCTTTGCAGACAGATATCGAATTATATATCACTTTATTCATAATTTTATTGTGAATATTGTCACCGACCATTTTGATATGGTAAACTATTTTCAAAAATCCCAGTAAAATTGTTGTTCTCAAAATCATTTTTCTCAAAATTCTTTCTTCTTTAAAATAAATTAAAAATAAATAAAGTTTCTTTCATTATAACAGCATTGGCATTTTGGTTAAGAAGCTTTTTATATAATTTTATGAAAAAATTGTATTATTTGTAGTTTTGCATATATTTTTACTTTAATAAATAAATAAATAATTTTATTTTTTTTTAGAAAAATGAAAATAATATAATGGCCATTATTAATTGAAATATGTTTATATTAGTATTAAAAAATTATTTGTTTTATGGATTCAAAAGTCTTAATTTGAAAAATTCATTTGAAAAAACTAAAATTCAAATTGCATGTGTTTTTTATAGAATTTTTTTCTATACATGCATATTACACAAAAAAGAATTAAAAAATATTGTTTTTACTAATATTTATTATTGAGAAAACCAGTCCTGAAAAGTCCAGTTCAGATAACGGCGTTGTTTTGATAAAGTTTTATGGCAATTTATGTTGTTTGTCACCTGATCAATTTAGTTTTTTGTCATCATATTTTTCAAATGTCATATTAATAAAGTTTTTATAAGCATAATCAATTATATATCTGGGCAAATATATTGTTGATTCAAGTACATATTGCTTATATTCAATAATGAGAAAGATAACTAAAAATTAAAAAAATAATTAAATTTTAGTGGTAATTAAATTTCAGTGTCAATTATTACTAGCTCCCAAGTTCCAAAAGGTGCCCTTACAATTCCAACAATCATATTTAGTATTTACAATCAAATTTACGAATAAATTCCAATACATCACATTAATTGTGTGTGTGTCATGTTAATTAGTATCATTTACGTAATTATATAATTTTCTAAAAATATTTTTTTCCCAAATTTCTGTCACGTAGACAAATTATTTCAGCCGGTAATGTCTAGAGTCTAGACATTTACACCGAAACATTTCATATCGGCGTGACTGTTCAATTTGCGCGAAGAGTTAGATGAAAACATTATATATAAGCTTATTAGGTATATATACGTGTAACTGTTTATTTTGATTCCACGATGTGTTTGTGTGTGCTATTTGTCTGGCTCATATCTCGTTAACCGAAATTTTTGTTTGTGTTTTTCACCGTGCATTGAATTTGCAGAATGGTTTTTTTGAGGTCATCTGAAGGTGTATTTATGGAAACACTTAGGAAAAAATACTGCAGTCGTTATTCTGTTTACTTTCAAACATATAATGCTTACTCTTTTTGTGTTTGAACTGAGAAATGGACGCGATGCCAAACAATATATCCTGATAGACTCATGACGAAAATTGCAACACATTATTATGAATGATTGTGTATGTGATTTTTCTTTAAGAAATTGTCAATCAACTTTCTATGATACATATAAAAGTACTGTTACAAAATATTTAATGTAAAAGTATAATACCCAAAATTAGACATTTTATGTACTGATTCACCTTTATATAACATTTGTTTTATATAACGAAAGATATTTTTGAACTTGAAAAAAAAACTTGTGAAATATATATTCGTGGTCTACTTTCATCGGTTTTAGTAATTCAGCATTTATTGAATTATGACCTCATTAAGACTATTATCAAAAAATCATTACATAAATGAATTATTTTATTTTTTGAGATCGAGTGAATTTTTTACTTGCCAAGTAATAATCTCAAGATCACATTATTTTAATATTACCAGTAACATATGTAATAGAGAAAAAATAGTATAATAAAGTTGAAAGCAAAGTTGTTAGCTTTGAAATGTATGTTTGTGCTATACTTTTACTATTTCAAGTAAATTCAAATCCATATGATTATGTAAATTGGTGTTGGATTATGACCTCATTAAGACCATTATTTTAAAAAAATCATTACATAAGCGGATAATTTTATTATTTGAGGCCTAGCTAATAATTGGTCAACTAAATATTGGTCAATAATAATTGGCAAGTAAGAATTTCAAAGGGTTCACTTTTTTTATTAAAATAATCATCATATTTTTTATATTTTTTATATTTTTTATATTTGTTAGTATAATTTGTTTTATACTTTTGCTAACAAATTACACTAAATTCAAAATAATAAATATACTTTAGTGTGCAGACGTAGGTTTCTATAATAATTAATAAATGCTGAAAAATATGGAATTTTCTGATAAGATTTATGTGAAATCAGTGTTTCTTTTGGTCTTCACATAGATTTTTACATATTTTTGTTAAAATTTTCTTTAAATAAAAAAATATTTAGTCTTGTAGATAAAATGAACTACACTGTGTTTACCCTCTTGTATTATTTGTGTAAATACATGTGTTTATCTGTTAAGATTTATGTAAACTAGTGGGGCGCATGGCATCGTGCCTTAAGGCAAATTCCCGTACCAAAAATTATTATTTTTTTAAAAGCGATTAACATTTTTGAAAAAATTTTACCTCGAAAAAATTAGATTTTTGAGAAACTATAAATTCGACAAAAAATTACTTTTTTTTGAAAAAAAAATTGTTTGATATAAAAGTTTTTTTTATTTTGGCATAGTTTGGAAATTCTGAACTTTTTTTCAAAGCAATCGTTACTGTTTTAACTGCATAGAGACGAAATGTAAAGCGCGTAAGCGCCGCGTCGCTGTCTAACGGATAAACATTGGTACGGAACCCATAGGAATGTAAACAAAATTCATACCTATTGTTAAAATCTCTATAAAATATCTGATAATTTGATGTGCATATTTCTAATGATCATTTTTGACCGCCAAAAGGCTTTTTGTTTTACTTTTTTCATTAGATCTCCGAAACCGCTAGACCTGCCTTCATAAAAATTTGATCAATTCTTCATCTTGTCAATACAAGTAAAATGGTTTTTGAATTTTTAAAATCGGACGCTCCGTTCTCTTAAAAACCGTGTTACCGTTTTTGGCACTTTTTGCCCCGTATCTTCGGAACGGCTAGACCTGCCTCCACCAAAAACTAATCAGCACGTCTCCTTATCAGTATGAATCGAATGTTTTTTAAATTATTTAAATCGGTTGATCGGTGTTCCCGAAATCGTCGACGAAAATTTGTATCCGCACACATACACACACACGCACACACACATACACACACACATACATCAATTTTTTCTAAGGTATGCCAAAATATTCAGAAACCTTTTAAACGTCGAGAAATGCAAAAATTTTCATTTTCGATTTTTTTGCGATTACTATAACTTACCCTACGGGAAGTTTAAAATACTTCTCTTGGTATAATTTTTTTTCTTTTATATAATTTTCAGTTAATTTTCATTAAATACAGAATTATTTATTCTTATGTAAACCACGTCTGCAGACATATGTTATGATGATAAACTCCATTAAATTTTGTTCAATTATTGACACAACGTCGTTAATTACTGACGTTTGTTTTATATATTGAACTTCTAATTTGGAACGACCTCGTCTGGCGTACTTTTCTGTTTTGGTTTTGCTTTGTTTTGAGATTGTCAAAATATCAGAATGTAAGACATCAGCTAATGACAGAACTCTTGACGTCTAAAACCTTGCACTTGAAGATGAGATATTTACCACTATATAGATAGGTAGACAGCTGGGCATATACATATTGTCTGTTTTATACAAATGTAGGATCGAGATCAATGATCTATTCGTGTAAAATCCAGAGAAGTGGCAATTTCAACGGTACTCTTGTAAAAATTCATTCGAGTCTTATATAACCAGAAATTTCTTTTCAAATATAATTTTTTGCAATATTTTTGATAATAAAATCTGATTCATATGTTGTGTATATTTCAGATAATTCTATATACATCTGTTATTATACAGTGCTGTTTTTCAGAAATGCATTAATCTCATTCATTTCGATAAGCTAAAAATAATTTGACATTGACTTGTCTTCATTATAAAAGTGTAGTGTCTGAGAATTTTGCATAATGAATTTTTATGTGAATTTGGCCGTAAGAAATATCTCATTTATATAAAAAAAATATTATGTAACATTATTATTTGTTGTAATTTTCCCTAAAATTTTGCAGCTCATATTCCCTATATCTTTAAAATCTTCGTATATTTCATATATTATCGATATTCTACGTTTTTCATATCGAAACATGCTCATTACGAAATATATCATGTTACTTATATAGAAAATCAGAGTGTACAGGATTATTAAAATGTTATATCCTTGAATTGAATATCTTTTCTGATACTGGATATCAATTTTAATAACACTTTATACAAAATGACTCAAAGGTATGTTTATTATTTTTATTTCCTTTAGTCTAGATACTTTAAATGCAAAATAATGAGTAAACATGATAATAATAAATACAAGTTATTTTCTTATTAAAACTGGACATTTTAGTACCTCTTTGTTAGTTATTACCAATGAGTTAGTTGAGAATTGTAATTATAAATTAATTTCTTTTTTTCAGCCCCAGAATATTCACCATTGCTTGCACAGAGGTCATTGGTTTTTGCAAGGTTGGGTGATTTCAGAAGAGCTCTTCAGGACGCAGACAACATCGTCAGATTGCGACCTACATGGCCAGTGGTAATTATAAATTAATGATTTATAGAAAAATGTGGCAATAAAGTTTACTTGGCTATATTTCTATCTAACTAGAACAAAAATTAAATTCCAGTTTATTTCATTTTTAACTGAATATTTCTCTCTCAGGGTTATTATCGACGTGGAAATGCATTGACCGGACTTGGTATGGCAGAAGATGCATTAGTGGCGCATTGTGTAGGAGCTTCCTTAGATTCCGATCCATATGTATCTACAAGTGAAGCATCTGAGGTAATTTATTGATATGTGTATACAATCATATATCTATTATATAAATTATTATATTAACTATTTTTTCAATTTCAGTTACTCCAACGTTTGTTTTCGCCTGTAGTTCCATTATCAGCATCACAGAACCACGACAGATCGTCACTTGCATCTCACAGGCGATGTTCTCTGCGCAGTGCAGTTGCAAGTAGTTTTCGAAAAAAATTAGGTTACTCCGGAATTGGGAATGTAGGACAATTGGGACCATTGAGGGGGTTGATAATTCGTCTGAGACAAGAACTGGATAAGTGTAAACGTAAGTATTGCTGACATCTCCTACATAAATATTATGTAATGATGTATGGCTAAATTTGTTACTTTTCTAGGACTTTCTCCTAAACCTCTTCTAAAAGTAAATGATCCACAATTAATCGAACAATCAGATTTCGATTGCGTCCTCTGTTGCAGGACATTGCTAAATCCAGCAGTTACACCATGCGGACATACCTACTGTCGCACATGTCTCGAACGATGTCTAGATTATAGTCCTGCTTGCCCTCTGTGCATGCGACCTTTATCAGATTATTTATCTCTGGGCCACAGACCATCTACTAAGTTTCTAGAAGCAGCAATGAGACAATTAATTCCACATCAATATTTTGCCAGGAGAATGGAAGAAGAATCACAGAACGAAGCTAGGTTACCGGTATTTGTTTGCACTACAGCGTATCCTACAGTTCCTTGTCCTCTATTTGTGTCAGAACCTAGATATAGGCTAATGGTAAGGAGATGCATCGAGTCTGGTAGTAGGCGATTTGGCATAGCCTCTTGTTTAGATGACCCGCGATTGGGTTCCAGGTCTAAATTGGCAGATTTTGGTACCTTACTTGAAGTTAGGGATCACGTACTGTTGAGTAATGGTAGCAGTATATTGACAGCCGTTGGTTCAAAACGATTTCGAATAGTAGAACGAGATGAAAAAGATGGCTACGATTTAGCAAGAGTAGAATTTATTAAAGACGAACCAGTAACAAAGAAAAAGGAATTAAGACATTTACATGACAGAGTACGCGAAGAAGCTATGAGATGGTTTAGACAGATGGCTAAAAACCTAAGAGCCGAAATTCGAAGGAGTTTTGGTGAGATACCAGATGTAGAAGAAGATTGGATGACGTTATCAGATGGTCCAGCATGGGCTTGGTGGATTTTAGCTATCTTGCCTTTGGGTCCTCAATTGCAAGTCGGAGTTTTATCTGCTACTAGTTTAGAAAAACGATTAAGGGCTATAGATAAAACGTTGGAATACATCAGAAGTCCGAGGAGATCTGTTGAAACTAAGAGAGTTGGAGAAACAGGCGCTGATGCAAGAGACGTTGTTGTGGCAAATGCTGGTGGTGATATTTGGCAAACAAGTCCAACTGCTAGTTGCCAAACAGCAACAGAAACAGATTTGACATCTATGGATCTTTAAGAGTAATATTATTATGTTATAAGATCTAGGAGGATAATGTTAGTGGAATTCATTTATTTAAAAACAATGCAATCAATAATACATAAAGATCTTTAATAAACTTTTATAGCGGCAATTCATATATTTGCTGTTTTCCAAACCTTGCGTAAGCATAATTTTTTTCAGTAGGTTTTTCATGCGAAATAATATTAACTATTATACAGTTATGGATCTCATATTATTGTAATTTAAGGATTAAATCAGAAAAGAATCAGTGTTCTAGTTACACGTTCGTAAATTTGTCTCATAGATTTGTAAATATTCTTTGTATTCGTGAATTTTCTGTTTTTTATTGCTACAATATGAAGCCCTGAGTGGATCTGATTTTATCTGCAATAATATCAAAGGTTGCCAAAATAAATATTACTGTTGTATTAAAAATATTTCGTACATTAATATTTTGTAAATATATGTATTGGTAAACTGAATTTTAGATCTTAATAACAATAGTGACGCCTTTTACTATCACATCTAAGATTTTTAGAAATATCTACTACTCTGCTTGAAAGAAATAATCGCACTAAACTCTTTTCCATATTCTGTAGTTCTTTTTAAATACATTTCCAAAATATCTTTTATGATATATTTTTAAGACTGACAGCACCACGTTTTCTTCTGTGGTTTTTAGATAGGGTTGAATAAATTCTTCATCCAATATGAATTTTTGGTATTAGGAAATGAAAAAAAAATTGCTTCGTTTTGTAATGTCTTATTATATAAGCATGGCCAGGGCATACAAAAATATAAAATAATGTTTAATATAGAGCATGAGCAATGCAATAGAAAAAATATAATCATCGCAACTGCGGACCATTTTTTAATAAAAACACTGTAGCTTTCTTATGAATTTCATTATACACTAACTATATTCTATGCTCCTATTGTGATATGTAGGGATTGTACTAATTGTAAGTTCTAAGGTTTTATAATACGTATATTTAAATATTTGTAGTTAGCGTACATATTTAATGAATATATTTATACTATATATATTTTTACTGTACATTGTTTAATAAAATTTAATTTTCTATGTATAAATTTATGTTTTATTGTAGCGGACAATATTTTTACGTTGCAATATTATAATTGGTATTATTAACTTTGCGAAAGAGGAGTTTGGTTTCGCAAAAAATCCAAATAACTCATTTTTATTTCAGGAAAAAAACAAATCACATTTTCTCAATGAGTTTTGCTATCAGCATGTAGTATTTATTACGAAAAAATATAAGATTTATATAATTTTATTTGACAGCTTGCCTTTATTACATTCGACTACAACGTTTTGAATTTACATTTGATTTCATTTTGCGCTCATAAACAAAAGCCGGTAAATATATAGCAAGCAACTTTTCAATTAGTACATGACATATCGTTAAAAATCTTTTGTTACTGTAAAAACCATAAGAACTGCGCCTAAATCAAGCGCAATTCTCAAAAATGTCTTATAAATAAAAAACGAAAAAAAGCAGGCGCAAAACTAGCGATTGACAACAATTGCAGTGGCGTTTGTAAAGTGTAATGACAGTACAAAAACAAATTGAAACAAAGAAAAATTTTCGTAAATTTTTACATTCCAAAGAACAAATTTATTTAGAAAAATATAAAACAGCTCCAGCACCCAGCAGAGATTATTACGGTTTGAAAATTACATACACTAAGGTAAATATAACTATATAATCTTAAATATAGTCACAAAATAAATTATAACTATCCTAACATATAGTTTTATTTTTTCTAGATTATTATTCACCATTGGCGCATTTCTCATGGACCCATAAAGTGCCCAGGATATCAAGAATATACTTTTGAAGATTACCTGACTTGTAGATCCGCACAACACGACGTATTGAGAGTATTTGGTATTAAAATACAGTAACAAAACTATTTCTACTTAAATAATAATTATTATTTTTATAGGTTCGCAAATTGCTGAGCAAACATCAGAATTTGCAAAATTTGGCGGTAAACGATTAGATATGCTTCCTGAGAATGTTATGCATCTTTTGACTAAATTTTTAGGATACAAAGAAGTTTGCCGCATGTCCCAGACGTCTAAGAACTTATACAAGGTAAAGGTATACCTTTATATATTTTTTTAACCTATAAATGATAATTTTCTATTTTAGATGCTTCAATCTGATCAAGTTTGGAAGCCACTTTTCCGCACGTATTTCAGAAATTTTGCGACCAAGGAGGAATTAAAATTGGCTAAATGCGGAGGTTGGAGAGCTTGGTGTAAAAAAGTTAAATTATCCCTTCGAGAACGAAACGCAGATATAACTTTGCCCAAAAAGCCAACAAAAGCAGTTACCATTCTACCCATTGTTGAAAATAAATTCATAGATTGCCATGGCGATGCTGCAAAACCCAGAAGTAGTTTATTGCCAAATTCTCCTACACCAGTTGATGTCAATTACCATCCTTTTGCAACAAAATCTAAGAGAAGTGGAACCATCTACCCAACAAGCGTGAAATCAAACTCTCCGAGAAGTACAATGCGCATATCCAAAAGGTACATGTCGACATCAAATTCTCTTTATTCTCCAAAAAAAGGTAGTAGCAGCGGTAAAAGTTCCCCAAAAGATAAATCGCCGCGAAAAGATAAGGACAAAAAGGTAATGACTATGTATTTAAATTTGCTGGAAACCAAAAGTGCTCCTATAGTAATTCGTCAAGAAGAAGAATATATAAAACCTAAGCGCCCATCTAAATTTTCACCGCACAATAGAACAGCACCTGGTATGCACTATCGGCTTCCAGTGCCTAAGGCTTTGCATCATCCAAAATACAGAGAGACTCCGTTGCCCGATATTGTAAATGATTCCCCACGTGAATCACCTAAACGCCCTGAAAGGATTATGTTGCCACGACACAAGATACCGATGCCATTGATGAAACCGATAAAGAAGAATTTTGCAGAAAAATATAAACAGAATCCACCCAATCAACCTCCTCCCAAAGAACCTGAAGTGGTGAAATCTAAAGAAAAAAAAACAGCTGATGATACGAAGAAGGAAAAGGAAAAGGTACTTTACGAATGTTCATTCAGTTAAAATCAAATTTAAACTGAATGATCTTGTATAAGTTAGATGTAGTTCTTAATTTTTATGTAAATTATATATCATATATTTTTTTCAGAAAAGTGAAATTCCAGTTTCGACTGCGGCATCCCTACGGAAAGAAATCAAATCAATAGAAGATTTAAATGTAGAAACACTATACACCAAAAATGAAATTAAGAACATCAAAATCAGTGAAAATCATTCCATATTTGCACCTAATATGTCTTCATTGCCTCAACGATCTCTTTTACAAGGTATAAGCGACAAATGGTCCCTGAAAAGAGATAAATCTTTTTTAGATTCAAATTCGATGTTATTACTTGAAGGCCGTTTGCCAATTGGTTTAGATAATTATAAAAATATGAATTATAATCTTCCTGCTAAAACATCAGAAGATGACAAATCAATTGACAGTTTCGGTTCGATAAGAAAGAAATTAGATGATTCTTTGAAACAAGATAAAGAGATGGATGAGTTTTTTGATAACTATGTAAAAAATATATTTCCTAGTAGATTGAATAAGTCCAGCGTTTCTTTAAAATCTCCTAATAATGAAGGCAAGAAAACAGGTCCTGATAAAACAAATCAAACTGTGAGAAAAGATATTCAAGTACGTAAAGCGGATTCAACAAAAACAGCTTCAAAATCAATTGTGAAGAAGCAAATACCTGTAAAAGACATGATTAAATCCAAGGTCGAAAAATCAGAAGTTATCAAGAAGACTAAGGAAACCAGCAGTGGTCAAAATGCTCAACGACAACTTAAAATGGCCAAGGGGGCTGTTTATGCTCTGGCTGCTGCTAATGATAACGAAAGTCAAACAATTAAAAGAAATCCGAGCCAAAAATATTATATGGATAAACAAAATATACGCATGGAAACGGTACGTCCAATGGCCACAAAAAGAAATTTGGAATCTTCCAAAAGTTCACCAACGTTGTTCAACCAGCAGGACCGGCAAAGATTCATAAACCAATCAAATTTACATAAAGTAACCAACGAAGCTTTGGCAAGATATCCCCGCAAATCGAAAATGGAATCTTTAATCGATTTCGGTAATTCTCTTAAACAAAAACATTCGGAGTTGTGCGTCAAATCTCCCATTAATATTCGATCAGGAAAATCGACGACTTGCGTCACGAAGAAAACTCCGAAACCCTCAGATCAATAATAGTAAAAGTAAAATTTTTGGCGATTTTAAGCAGTTTTATATATTTCCCACGTGTCAACCACTTTAATTGCTGTTAAAATTAGTGCAATAATATTTGAACGTTTTTTATAAAATAATACTGTTATAACAATAAATTCGGTACGATGCAAATCGTGCATGAAAAATATTGTTTGAATATGGAATTTTTAAATGAGAATAACGGATAGACAATATTCTTCCTTGAATTGGTGGTATTAATAGAGTTTTCTTGCTGGAAATGTGCCTAAATTGATGGGATGCTTTTGAATAAATATTTCAGTGGTACAGGATGCACTGGAAAGTTGTTAAAGGTATGTACTATTATTATTATTACTTTATTTATTACTATTTGTTTCCTATGATTATGATAATTACAATTATGAACAAGTTAAATTTAAATTAGTACTTCAAATATTAAAATTGGTTAAAAAAAATATAATTATTTGAATATATTTGTTAATATGTAGTGAAATTGATTGAAATAACAATTACTTTGCATACAAAGAGTGACAAATTGAATATCACATAATTTTCACATTTATTCAAATTTTTCTAACGATAAAGTTTTCTCGATTTATCAAGTCATTCTGAATGGCTTTACACCAGAATATTGTGCACGTTAAAATTTTTAATTTAAGAGCTATTTGATGAAAGTAGATAAGGAATAGCGTTTTGAGTTTTTTTTGAGAAGCAGTTTCTTCATATTTGTTAATAATACGTGGGCTTTTAAACGATAGTCTATTTAAGCACATTACGAAACCAGTAGGGTATTGTGATGAGAAAAAAAACCTACGGGACCTAATTTACCTTCGTATTTCCCCCTTAGCAATTACATAACTTGAAATCTTTTCACAAAAAAGATGGGTATAACCTATTTCCTATTCTTTCTTTAATATAAATCATCATTATTCGCCTATCATAATTTATTCCATCGAGTGTACTTATTTATTTCCAATATGTGTGCCGGTGATTATTTGCGAAAACAGTTGCGCATGGCCCTTCGATCAGTCGAGATCTTGATATGAACCGATATTATAAAGATGATTCAATCATATAATCAAAAATTGTGTATTATATATTTTAAACATCATATTAAAATTAAGTAAACTTTATAATAATTTAGTGATTTTGTGTTCGAGTTTTATTGATTTTCTGTATCAATTGTTATGCAATAATATTTTTAATCGTTTGCGATATGTCCAGTGTTTGTTCGAGTAAGATGATGGAGTAAGTAGAATAATCAGAAAATTATTCATTAACAATACTTATATGAGGTTTATTTAATATAAATTATTATACCCATATGAAATTCGATGCACAATTAAAAAAAATCATACAAATTATAACAATTTAAAAATTTTAGGTATTTTCTAAGTTTTGATTGATCGTTATATCCGGACTTAATTTTATCGAATAATTTTTAATATTTTTTTTACTTAAACTTGCTGTGTTTAAATTAAACAATTTATTCGTCATTATTTGGTTAAATGCATATTTAAAATAAGTTCATTTATAGTAAATTATTGGTAAAATATTGAAGTCCTGTATTTTTTAAGTTATGATTGGTCGTTATGTCCTTAAGTCAGTTTTTCTTTAGCAAATAATTAAGCATTTTAGCAAATAATATTATTAATGTGGTTTGATGAAGTTAACTATTACGACTAAATTACGATTCACTCGATTCTTGTTTTAATAGCATTTTTTTTCATTTATTAGCAATTTTTTATTCATAAAAAGCAATCAGATTAAAACATATATCCTATCAGTTATCAAAACGAACAATATATTGTATGAATTATTAATTATTATAATTAAATAATAATTATTAGCAACATGTGTAAAGATGATATTTTTCTAAATATTTGATTAGTTAGAATTTTTTGAGATTTTAATTAGTTTTAATATGAAAGCAGTTACTAATTAATATGTTTATATTAAAAACATCTTATTTTCATATTTTTAATTTAATTAATTGTATTTGTTAATTGATTTCTAAAATATTACAACGTACAATCATGATTTTCAAAAAAATTACTGAAATCGTTCTTATTAATCGTTAATCATATCTACTTTCTTTAATTAATATTAAATATATATTTATTTCGTTAATTTCATTTTATTCTATTTAGTTCAGAAAAAACTATTGTTTTTTTTCAAAGATTTATTTAAATGTTAGATATTTTTTAAGAAAGTATTGCTTATTATGAATTGATATGGGTAAACATTCAATTAAAAGTTATACTTTTTGAATAAAGAAATGTCTGTTTACTGGTTATTATTTTGTCTTTTAAATATTTCAAAGTTTGATAATGATGATTTTAAATTAGTATTTTTGGTATGGTACATTCATACGCCTAACTACATACTCATATCTTCAACAAACAAAGCTAAAATATATTTATTTTTTTAATATATAATATTTATATTGCACTTAAACTTTTTCTTATTGTCAGTAGATTTTATGTTGATAAATGTTTATTTAAATATTGTTTTTCATATGAAATTATAATGATTATTATGTTCAAATGTTGACAATGCATGAATCTGTTCACCTGTTGCCCTTCGTTACCTACCCTCGCCGCACCTGTTGAAATATAATCGATATTTTCAACCCCTTATTATATCATTAGGTTTAAACTCATATACATACTTGCATAAATTTCATATCTACATTGATATTATACCAGTAAATTCTTTGTATAAAATACAACATATATAAAAATCTATTGGCAATCCAAAATTCTTTTTTGGTGTATATTTATCATCACTTATGTAATACGTTAATTGAAATCCAATTGGATTTCAATTAACGTATTAATACACTCGTCATTGTCAATATATAACTTTATATATATATATATATATATATATATATATATATAATATTGCAATTTTAATATATAACATACATACGTATTCGTATTTTTCAAAAAATATTATACGAGCAATTTCTTTGTATACAGCCAACGAAAATTATTAGCCAATCCGACAATCATTTTTGGTACTATATACTCTATGTGCCACTATTTGAGAACTTCGATTTTATTTAAAGTATTAATATACTCATGGGATATGTGGGATTGTTACGTAATTATTATGTAATTTTGAATAGAACCTAATATTACCTAGAAGACCACATATGTAATAGGATTAGTTTGGATATATGCAATATTTTGTAGTTGCTGTAATCGTAATCGTTTCATTGATCTGCTTTGATTAATTGCTATCAAAAGTCGATAAAAAATATTAACTAATAATTAGTATCCTAAAGTTGAAACATCAAAATTTATTTAAAAAATCTTAGAAAATATCAGTATTTTTCAATGTTGATCTAATAGACAATGTGGATTTCCAATATACATTTTTAACACATCTTTTATTCTAAGTGCTGCTTGTTTGACAAACTACTTCATTAGTTAGATTATTTTTTACCATATTAAATTTTTTTTTTCAAAATATTTGTGAATATTATTTTCTACAACCTCTGTTATTACAAATACTGTTTTGTCAACCACAGTACCTACATTATATAGGTTTGTAGGTACTACGCAGAGAAATTTTCCATTGTCAAATGTATTTATAACTAACAAAAGGAATGAAATGATATATATATATATATATATATATATATATATATTGATTTTGTATTTTCATGCTGACATGTTTGTTTATTTGATTTCGTTGTATTATTCCTAAATATCAGACAACATTTTAAAAAATTATTCGAACTTGTAGAGACAACATGGAAGAGGATGACGATAAAGATGATACAAAAAGGTAACTGAAATTTGAATTTGTATTTTACCAAAAATGAGAACTATTAACAACATATTTTGTATTGCAGAAAAACGCGAAATTTGAGTGAAAAAAGACGTAGAGATCAATTTAGTACCTTAGTCAATGAACTTGGATCCATGGTGTCAACAAATAATAGAAAGATGGATAAGTCTACAGTTCTTAGAGCAACAATTGCATTTTTAAGAAGTCACAACGGTTTGCATAGTAAATCCTTTGATTGTTTTATTATTTTGACTTTTATTATTTTTTTAGAATCTGTGGTTCGAAATAAGGCACATGAAATATCCGGAGACTTTAAACCAAATTTTATAACAAATGATGAATACTTACACATATTATTAGACGCTTTAGATGGATTTTTAATTACTTTCTCAAGCAATGGCAATATTTTATATTCATCTTATAGTATTTGCTCTCTACTAGGATACCTCCAGGTACTACACATCAATAATATACATTTTTCAATGATTTTAATCTAATTATTTTTTCTAGACTGATCTAGCTAATGCTTCCATATACGATTTTGTTGTTGAAGAAGATCATAAAATAGTTTTCGAAGTGTTAAGAACGCCTTTTATGGATTCTTGTGTCAAATATAATGAGTTTCAGCCTGGTGATAATGAAGTTTCGTTTGAATGTCGAATAAAACGTGGAGATGCCTTTAGAAAGACGAATACTTATGAGAAAATCCAGTTTTATGGACATTATAGTAAGTAATTGTTATTTAATTTTTTTATCAATTTTATAGTTATCATATTAATTCATGATATAATAGGAATAGATAAGCGAGTTAGCCATGGAAACATATCATCATCGACAGATCCTCTCAATTCTTGTACTTCACAAGATGAATCAGGGTAACTAAATCTTAAGTTTTCGAAACTGTAGCAAAAGTTTTACCTCAAATTTATTTTTTCCAGTTGGATTTTCTTCTGCAAAGGACTTCTTCAAAACTCTTTATTGTTACGAGAGCTAGCAATTGCTGATTTGGCAGGATCAGAATTTACATCACGTCATAGTTTAGAATGGAAATTCATATATTTAGATCAAAGAGCACCTCCCATAATCGGTTATTTACCATTCGAATTATTAGGAACTTCTGGATACGAATATTATCATATAGATGATTTAGAAAATATTTCAGCTTGTCACGAAAAATGTAAGATTCCATAATGTAAATTTATGAGTTATTATTACTATATAATTACTGTTTTTAGTAATGCAAAAAGGTGAAGGCACTTCTTGCTTATATAGATTTTTAACAAAAGGGCAACAATGGATTTGGTTGCAAACAAGATCTTATATTACTTACCATCAATGGAATTCCAAACCTGAATTTGTTGTTTGCACGAATAGAGTAGTTGGGTAATTACAATTACAATTTAGTTTTTATAAAAATCATGTTTTCAACTTTATATATTATTTTAGTTATCCTGAAGTGATTAAACAATTGAAAACGGAACAAGATACACGCAAAATTATACCAGAAATAAAACCACTTAATAATTTGTTACAAACTGAAGCGTCGCAGTCCGGATTATCAAATTGCTCTATCTCAAATAGTTTATGGCCTGTTAAATCTCCTGTTGTAAGTCCAAATATTATTTTCATATTTATTAGAAGGAGATTTAAAAGTTCGATTATTTTAAAATCAGGATATTGTAAGTCAAAGTTCACCTGCTTGCGCAGTCCAATGTAGACCCAATCAGCCATCAACTTCCCTGCAGAGAGGTCCTGAATCAGAAGCCGCATCAATTTCTGTAGAATCTCCTGGTTCTTTACGAAGTATCAGGACAAACCATAGCAATGTAAAAAATTATATCATTTATACAAAATATTCGTATATTGAAATCGATTCCAACGTTTCTATGTTTCTTTCTAGAGACCGCCTTCAAACATGACCGCAAAATGTTATCCTGCACCATCCATGCTGCCTGTAGAAAATTCTCCTCTTAATCCAATATTAAATCATGTAAATCAAAGCCCATCACTTTTCGTAGAACCGCAATATATTGCTTCTGCGCCAACGCCTAATGATTTTAGCAATCAAGTTAGTAAATTATTTTATTATAAACAAATTTTTATTATAAATCCTAATTTTTCACCAGGCTTTGGAAGGGCAACTGCCGATTACTGATGTGTCGACGCAAATTAACGCTCAGTTTCAGCTTCAACGAAAGCAAGAAGAATTGCAGCAGACCATTCAGCAGCAGCAGGAGGAGCTGAGGAGAGTTTCAGAACAATTAGCAGCTGTTAATTATGGGTTTATAACGCCTCAAACTGAGGTAAGAAAACTGATGATTGACTACAAAAAAAAAAAAAACATATAAATTTTAATTTGAAATCCCTAATTTTGATCATGTTTGAACACAATAATTTTAATTTAAAAAATATTAAAATATGGCAGATGATTTAATTTAATATTAATATTGTCTGATATCTGTATATATCAAATTATTTCTTATTTAATTTTATTTTCTCCATCAGTATAATTCTAGTATGCAAATACCATACACGATGGCTGGAACTGTAAGCAGTACCACGAATTGTTTTCCATCCACTGACCAATATTTACAACAAATTCTTCCTCAAGATGGTTTGTCTTTGGATCAGGAGCAATATCAACCCATTCCTTATGATGAACAATATACAGGTGATATTGGTGAAATGGGTTATTTTGTTTACCAAGATCAAGCATCAATGGGAGATATGTGTTCGTATCAGATGTCTACTCAATTATTGTTTGATGAAAGTTTAACAGGTGGGCAAGGACACCAATAAAGTGAGTGAAATCTTGTTTTTATATTTAGTTATTTGTAACAAAAATATCTGATTTATTCTCTAAGTATTGACATTTTGTGCCATATCATCGAAGTTTCTGCTGTGTAATTTAGGGACCAGACAATTCCAATTGTAAAATGTCACAAAATTTATGGATATATGTATTTATTTATTATGTCCATATAAATGTTAAGATTTTATATATAAGATTATTACAAATAACTAAGAGGAGAGCTTATAAATATATTGTGTATGTAGGCATTACGTATTTTGAAATAGAAAAGAATCTGTACAACCACAGAGTCTTTTCTTTTACATTTTTTTCAGCGCGTTTGCTAATATCTGAATTTCAGAATTTATATTTGTGACCAGATTTTCTATCTGGTGTTTTGAATCCAAGATTTTGATACTTTGTGTGTAAGCATTGTAGCGCACTCCGAATGGTCTCGGTATTGTTTCAGCATATTCTCTGCAAAAAATAACATATTATTGAAATGTATTTTGAGTATATTTAATCATACATACATCATTAGTTCTATCGATGCTTCAAAACTTTCAGCACCATAGTAGACGGGTTGATATTCTGTGCTGGGGTATTTTTGTTCTGCTGTTTTTATTGGCTCGAATGGTATGAGTTCTGGTTTATCAGAAAGACTGTGCATAAGTTCTTCATATGATGATAAAAGTCCTGCATCATAGGCTTTTTCTCCGGGGTTACTTTAATCTTAAATACTGAAAAGGATAACAATTTGAATTCTAATTTTTAATCAAGGTTACTGAATAAATTATTTTTAAATGTTAGAACAAATTTATTTTTAATATTTGAAATGTGTGCTCTTTGTTTTGTAACAAGGTTCTATTGTCCCAAGTGAATAGATCTATTCGAGACTTGATCAATTCGAATATCTCCACAAATTCTTAATCGTCACCTAAATAATCATAATTTAATTATAGAAAAACCTGTTGTTGTATTGTAGACAAGAGTATTATAAACAATATACTAATCAGTATTTGTATTAGAGATTAATTTATTTATATATTTGCTCTTTTGACAGAGAAGATCGACACGAGTTTATGGTGTTTCTGCAATTGGAAGAATTTTTTATTTATTATTTTTTTGGTATTTATCATAGCAACCTAAATATTAAATAATAAGCTTGGGAAAAATAATGGTGCGGCTTGAGAATTTGTGAAGATATTAGAATTACTCAAGTCCTGAATAGATCTATTCACTCAGGACAACTTAACCTTGTTACAAAGTTGACAAAGAACCCACATGAACACATTATATTCTAGCCATTAATAATAATTTACGCAAAACAAGAAACACAAAATAAGTTGAAGTTTTTTGCAGATCTTGATGTGACAGCTAATTCGGATTGTTAACTTGTTTTAGAATGAACTTTTGCACTATTGCTATTTTTGACTCATAATTATTGTAGATTGAGATTACAGGCTTATAATTTAAAAGCTAAATCATTAGCTGTAGAGACTTGTGGTCCAGGCGAAAAGTCAGTTCATCTGTCTGCGAGAACTGAAAGAATAAAAAAGAATTTGGGTTTATATATACATCGTGGTGATAATTTATAATAATTATATGTTCACAACACAATAAGCTAACGATTTATTTTATATTTAATGTTTATATATATTGTTGTGCACCCCTGGGCTAACAACAATTTATGTTGTGGATCCGTTGCCAACAATTATGTTGCCTCACACGAACGATGTCAACAATTAAAATTAGGTCCTTCTGCTGTTTATCATAAACTTTACCACTGTGAAATATTTAATTAAACATCTGAAGACATTTATAAATTTTATTTAATTCATTACTTGGTTACACTTATTACACAATTGATATTTTGAATAAGAGTGATGTGAACTGTTTGGCTTCTAGTCAACAAATAAGCACTGACTTTGTTCTCTTCAGGCTTTTATAATCTCTGATGGTGACGCAATTATCCTTCCAGAAAAATACGTTAAAATGACTCACTCCTGTTTACTTTAGACGTAGTTTTGTGGTTTGTCATCGAAGAAAACCGTTACAGGCCTGCATACAATGTTGCTTATCTCTAATACAATCTATGAGCTGTGAGTCAGCAACGTAATGCGTCTTTCATATTGACTGTTACATCGAATTTATAATATTATTTATAACTATTGTAAAGGGTGAATACCACAACAATATATATATATATATATATATATATATATAAACATATATATATATATATATATATATATATATATAAACAATCAGATAACCCCACAAATATCAGATAACCACTCATTCAATTGGGGGCACTGGCAGCCCCAATTTAACTTGTGCGATATTGTTATATCTGACTCCGTAGAGCCAGAAGTCTATGGTAAGTTCAATACCTGTGAAGACAAATTTGTGTGTATATATTCATCCATGTGATAATTTATAATAATTATATGTTGATGATAAGCTGATGATTCATTTCATATTTTGCATAAGAATGTATTTATATATAAAAAACAACTGCACATAACCTCACAAATAGATGTCCATGCTCATGAAGAATAAACTGATCTCTCGTTTAATTGTAATCGGTGTAGCAGCTAATTATGTACCCTTTCACTTGTATTAAATTGAATCTTTGCATTATTGCTATTTTTAACTCAGATACTGTAGGTCCAGCTAGCCTTGATGAAAGTTTTATAAATTAGAAGTTCATTTGCTGTATAGACTTGCTTTCGAGCCAATAGGCCAGTACAACTGTCTGCGAGAACTGAAATTGATATTATACTGGGAAATTTGTGGTGATAATTTATAATAATTATATATTCATAACACTATAAGCTGACGATTTACTTCATATTTTGCATAGAAATGTATATATATATACATAAAAACAAACAACCAGATAACCTCACAACTAAATGTCAATGTGCAAGTTTAGCAACAAATTGATGTGTTTTAATATTTTCTACATTAATTTTCACGTGAAAATATTAATTTTGTTTATCTTTAGACTTTATGTACGTGTGAGTACAGAAATTTGCGTTTATAATGATTGTTGTTTTGACGTTTGTGCCGTTTTGAGGTTAGAAATAAATTTTGAGTACAACAAAGTAAAAACGCTTATTTTTTGATAGTTTATTAGTAAAATATGACTACCAAATCATGCAATAATATTTTATTAACATAAAATTTCTATTTTATCCCCTATTACATCCTTTATTACTCGTCGATGTAATTTTCAACTACAGAACAAATAGTGCTTACCCAATTACGTTTTCACTTGTTTTTAGGATATTTAGCGTGACAAACATAGTTTTTTGCCAATTTAGTTTGATTTAAATCGAAATTTCAAGCTGGAATTGCGTTTTTCTTCTAGAGATCTTTACAGCGGAATCCGCAGGTATAAAAGGCCGGCACTAGTTGTCATGAGCTCAGTAGTGCGTCAGATTTCGAACAGTGAACAGTAAAGTGAGGTTAAGTGAAAAAAGTGAATAGTGAATAAGTACTTATAAAGTGTGTTATCGTGTGCAATTTGTATGTAAAAGGTATGCGATTCTTATTTTTATACTCTTGCACAATTATTATACTTTACTAGCTAAGCCAAATGTTAATTTTCTAAGTAAGGTAAATTCTAAACAATTTCTAGATATTCAAAAATATTAATACTTTTAGTGTATAAGGATTAAGTGTTGTTTGAATGCTATATACAATGAGGTATTATAAAAACAATAAACCCCATTGGTTTGTCTATATTTTGTCGATACAATCAAACTGAAAGTTCTATACACTTTCTACAGAAAACATAATGGTATAATCCAATCCAAGTCTTTTTTGGTCTTTCGACTTATTGATTAGGTTTCAAGTTTTTCAGATTCTTTTTGGTTTCTGAATTTTGTGTATAATTGTAAATAATACTACTGAGCTTATACAAAATTTTTAAATTTCTGCGAGGATAGATAGGAAATGAATTAAGTATTTCTTCTTTGATCTGCTTTTTAAAAATTTTCAAGTAACATTTGATGAATTGAAGTAAAGTTAATAAAAAGTATTATGGATTAATCATAAGAATCAAGGTTATAGCCGGTTGTACATCTTTTTCCCTCTACTTTCAACACACAAACAATTTAAAACAGAAACAAAAGTTTTATTAGGCAAAGAGTAACTATGTTTATTGTTATTACTGAATTCATTTAGATACTCTAAACCAGGTTATTTATAAAATGTAACGTATAAGAATTATTTGTTAAATTTTTAAAGTTCTAATTTTTTATTATACTCTCTCAAATTCGAAATCTTTCAAAACGACATCAATTAAAATCGCTTTGCAAATTGCAAAATAATTATTGTTATGCAATTCTGTGCAAATATTAATTTCCAAAAAAATTAATGTGCAAAAGTATTAATAGTTTTAATATTTGCTTTGTGCAAAATTTATCCTTTCACCAAGTCGATTGCGAATAACGAATAAAATTATTTTGTTGGTCATTATGAAAGAAAACGTGTTTTAGGAATTTAAACTCGGAAAATATAAATATACTAGCTGACCCGGCAAACGTTGTATTGCTAATATTCTAAATAAACAATTTCTAGAGAATCAAAAATGTTAATACTTTTAGTGTATAAGGATTAAGTGTTGTTTGAATGCTATATACAATGAGGTATTATAAAAACAATAAACCCGATTAGTTTGTCCATATATTATTGTTAATACAATCAAACTGGCTTTGGTCTATATTTAAAAAATTTTATACAGTTTTTATAGAAAACGTGGTATATCCAATCCAAGTCTTTTTTGGTCTCTCGACTTATTGATTACGTTTCAAGTTTTTCACATTTTTTTGGATTCTGGATTTTGTGTATAATTATTAATACAAAATTAATGATTTCATACAAATATCGACACGTTAGTTGCTAATTTAATTAAAATTTCTTATTTAAAGTACTCGACTTTACCTAAAATATTAATTCTTGGATCTTGTTCTCTTGAATGTAAATATATACACTTTTCCAACTTTATTATAATTTTGATACAAGTCCATCAAAAATTTGAAATTTAAACCATTCATTTGTAACTTCTAGGGTGTTAAATTAAATTAAAAGTAAATAAGAAGAATGGAATCATCTATTTCATTTTATACAAAAATCGACATATTCAGTTTTGAATTTGTTAGTAATTATATTACACATTTTTAGAAAAGGGAAATTTTATTTAAAAACGTGATAAAATAATATTAAGTAAATATTTACCATTTTCTTATAATTATAATATTATTACTATTTTTTTATACGTTGATGTAGAGATGTTTAATATGTTCTTAAATTTTTTTTGCTTTGAACATTTTTATATCTTGCACCAAATTGCAATTTTTTTTCTTTGGATATTTTAATTAACAAATTTTAATTTGTTCTAAAAATGAAATAATGTTAATACATTAGTAATAATGAAAAAAGTGGCAACGTGAAAAACATTATTCTAATATTTTGGCTTTAGTAATTTAACACAAATTTTATAAGAAATATTTGATTTATTTAATTAATTATTTGTTTGATATGAAATGTTCCAAACATTTTAAAATCAATAGTATTATGAGTACAATTATTATCACTAATTCTATTTTTATTATTAATGCCTTAAAAACGATTATATTTTCTTACTACTTACTATTCTAATTATATAACCCAGATTGTTCTTTTTAATTAATCAAGTTTACAATTTTTGTTATATTTTTTTGAAATTTTTAAAAATTATGTTATCATATTTAAAATATTTGAATATTCTGAACAGAACACAATTTGAAAAAAAAAATCTCAAAAATCTGCATAATGATAAAAAAAAAAAAAAAAAAACACTATTTGTTTTAACTTAGTTCAGTATCTGAGAAAGTTAATCAATTTTTGATATTTTTTCAACAAAAATCATATTTTATTTATATGATATTTCTTCTAGTTGAAACAATAGTATTTTTTTATATAGTAATGATATATATTTGAAATTTAATCACAATTTGAACACTTTTGAAAACAAATTTCCACTGAACTCTGCATAAAAATTTACTTGTATAAAAACTCTAAATTTATTAACTTTTTCAGCTTTGTCTTGTTTAACAATTGGATAATGTTATTTGATTTCTATGAATCTAGTAAATAATTATAATTGTACTAGCTGACCCGGCAAATGTTGTTTTGCTAAGTGAGGTATATTCTAAACAATTTCTAGAGAATCAAAAAATTTAATACTTTAAGTGTATAAGATGTGTTGTTTGAATGTTATAAACCCCATTAGTTTGTCTATAT